CCCTCTCTTTCTCCTTTCCCTTTATATATATATATATATATATATATATATATATATAAAAAAAGAAAGAACAGTAAGATATATAATCCGGTGTTCTTATAGATATTTTTATTTTTACAAAATAGTGCTCAATGTAAATTTACAGAGCATTAATATTATAAATTAATTGATTTAAAATATGTTTTTTTTCGCTACACAGTTCTAACCATGTTTCAAAAATGGAAGCTAAAAGCAATAACTGATACATTAAAATATAGACATATTGAATACCCAGACACCCCTAGTCTAGTAAAATGGATTTATCTGTAACCTTGGAAACATGAATTATGTTTTAGCTGTGTATTTAAAACCCAGTAATTTTAAAAGTTACTCCAAAATTCGCTTGAGGATGAAATGGAACTAATGACTTTAATTTAATTACAAAATTAAATTCGGGGCTTTTAGCTTCCATTTTTGAAACGTGGTTAGAACTGTGTAGCGAAAAAAAACATATTTTAAATAAATTAATTTATAATATTATATATATATATATATATATATATATATAAAGAAGAGGTTATAGTAGTTCCAACGAGAGAAAAGTGTGTATATTAAAAAGAGGGGATATGCGCATATATACACGCATGCTGACAAAAGTACACGAAAATGGAAATAGATCTAACAACACACAGGGGTCGTTAAAAGATAAGCATGCCGATAACTACTCCATCATTTCTCGAACTAATCTTAATTGTTTTATAACCCTTCACGCAGAACTTTTCACTGCCAGTTCAAAAAAGACGTTTGGATCATTAACACAAAAAAGAGAACGTCTCATATCGAGAATATTTAACATCGAAAAACATAAAGAAAAAAAAACAATTATTTTTAATATGTGGAGATCTCCAGTCTTTGCCTGATGACGGTTGCGAGACCGGAAACACGTGTAGCAAAATTATGGAAAATAAAGCGTAATATATTTTTTTTAAATCATCATTAAAACCAAAAACGTTTGCGGTTTCTCTCTTTTTTTAATATATATATATATATATATATATATATATCAAAGTATATAATTGGTATATACGGAATGAATTCCAATAACCAACAATTTTGAAGGTATATTTATGTATCTATATGTTAGTACGTTTATATATGTATTTGGTTGAGTGTTGTTGTATTTTTATGTATGCATGTATATATGGGTAGTTGTTATTGTAGATTGATATATTTATATATATGTTTATTTGTAGATATGTATGTATGTGTGTATATATATCTATGTATGTTTGTGTATGTATATATATGTGTGGGTGTTGGCACCTATTATGTATGTATGAGTTTGTTTGTGTGTATTGTGTGGGTATGGAAACTTTGGTATATCATGACTGTTTTTATATATGTAAGTATGTGTGCATCTGAAATATTTATTGGTTGTGATTTCTCATTGTCTGTCATTGTCTGTGGATGTATGTATGTGTATCTATCGGTGTCTATGTGTATGTAGAGTGTTTTCACATTTAACTGTGTGTGTGTATAAGAGTTAGTTTCCACGTCTCCTTTTTTCATAAAGGGCTGTAGAGATGTTCTTGTATCCCCCCCACCTCCTTTTATTTATTTATTTATTTTTTTTTTTGTGTGTGTATGTTTGTGTGTGGATGTGTGTGTGTGTGTGTGTGTGTGTGTGTGTGTGTGTGTGTGTGCGGGTGTGGGTGTGTGTGTGTATCTAATTATGTCTGCCTTGTGCCACATTCAATTCCTGTGGGTGAATTGATAAATACCATCTAATTATGTCTGGGTGCTTATGTATTATAATCTGATTGTGTTTTTGTTGTTTTTACGCGTGAGTTTAAGACCACATTCACAAACTTTAAAATAAAAACGGAAAAGAAAGGGAAAAAGAAAAAATATATATATACATGTATTGTCAAATGACCGGATGTATTGTAGCGTCTTGTCTTGTCGAACGTAATTTCAATGAAGAAATGAATTGAATAAACATATATATTTTTTCTTTTCTCAATAATTTTGTAGTTTTTAAACTTAATGCTGATTAAATTTGGATTTTAAAAATTGCCAGTTTTTAATTTTAATATTAAATTTTATCATATAATTTTATAATTATTAGTTAGTATAAATTATTTTTAATATTACACGTATTTAAAGATCTGAATAGCTATTATAGCAGGATTTCGTTGTCAAGCTTTTGAATCTTTCTATACTTCGTTTTTGATTGGTTATTCTAGCCTTTGTAACAATGTTTCCCCCTAGTGTAGGATCGTTAATTAATCTGAAACTTTTAAAACCATTTATTTTCTTTTCAACATCATCACTTGATAAGACACAGAGTGTGTTGAAACAAAATGGCTATTTTTTTGTAGTGATTTTATAACATACTTATGTTATAATTTTTTATAAAAAATAATTATATATATATATATATATATATATATATATATATATATATATATATATATATAACCAGCACTATGCACATGTGTGTGGTTATAAGAACATGTTTAGTTTTGCGTTTAAACCACCTTTGAAAGGCGATCTTCTCCCAGGGACCAACAACTGAAACAGCTGCTTTATTTTCTTGTGACGTCAAGCAGAACCTCTAATTATAACCTCTATTCATTTTCTTGCTTGACGTTTTAATTACAATCACTTCACTAATTTCGGCACCACTGTCAAATTAGTATTGAGGTTAATTTATTTATCCAGAAAAAAATATGTATTAACGATTGCAACAGTTTGCGAGCTACGCGTCAAGTGTTATTAAGGTGTATATCGTGTATTTCAGAAGCACATGGAAAATACAGATTTTTAAAGAAAAAGAACTTGAATAATTACTTTTTCAAATTATTGGATTCTTTTTTAAAATATTTTTCTACCAAATGGACGAGGTAGTTGCATGTAATAAGCTCTAGTGTTTGGTGTTAAAAGTCACACAGACCGATTGAGCATATATCTGGGAATGGGTGATAAGACACATTTTAACATTACGAGTTTACCAGTGTTATGACGCCGGGATTTTAAGTAATTTTGTAACTGCATTAGTTATATTTTCTGCTTGAGTAACGTAGGATTTGTATCTACAAAATTAACCGAAGGGCGGTTAGCCAATCCCTGCTGCAGACGCATGCTCAGACACATTTGTGTTTATTCAACACCCGCAGAGCTCACATGTGATTTATACTGTAATTATGCTGAGCAGACTTTAGTTAATGTTTCTGGGAAAGAACGCGTTATCAGGCGTGATCAGCAGCCTGAACAAGGCCAGCACGCTCAAGCCCTCGATCACGATGACTTGTAACTTCGTGCTAGCACAACCATCGACGACTCCTCAAAGAATTCCGTTTGTCCATTGGTCGACTGCTTGTCTTCAGTTATTAGACTGCCGCTTAGAAACATCTACATATATGTATACATATATATGTATTACAATGAATCATTCATACAGAAAGTAGATTAGTAAAGTTAATGATATAAAATGGCGAAATCTCTTCGCAAAAAATTTTTAAAGTTGATTAATCTACGAAGCACTCGATGAATGTTATGATCCTTGTTTTTAATAACTACAAGCTGTATAAAGTCTTTATTTAATCTGCTAGTACTTTCAACTGTACATTCAGTCATCCTCAAGCATGGAAATTATTTTGTTTTTAGTAAAATCCAGGTAGCATCAGAGACGAAAGATTAAATGCGAATCGAAATATGTTTTTTTTTTTTTTAGAAATGTGCTATTAATGGATAAAAAGTTTTGGAGCATGCAGTCGCAACGCTAAAGTTGAATATTTTTTTATTTTTTTTGAAAATTTAAGAGAGTGCGTTTTTTTTACTAATATGGTAATTTGAGAATTTTTTTGTCGTAGGAGTTTATCAGTCAATGTGGCATGAACTAAAGTGTTCAATAAATAACACATTTCTATATTTAACAATAACATATTTTTAAAAAAACATATTTCGATTCACATTTAATTTTTCGTCTGTGATGCTACCTGGATTTTACTAAAAATAATTTCCATGCCTGAGGATGACTGAATATACAGTTGAAAGTACTAGCAGATTAAAAAAAGACCTTATACAGCTTGTATTTATTAAAAACAAGGATCATAACATTCATCGAGTGGTTCGTAGGTTAATGCAACTTTAAATTTTTGTTTGCGAAGAGATTTCGCCATTTTATATCATTAACTTTAGTAATCTACTTTCTGTATGAATAGACAGTAAAAGGGTGTGAGCGAGATGCCAGCCTAGTAGAACGCTTAAAAACGAAGTTTGGGAAGTACAGAGACCAGAGAGAAAGATAGGGAGAGTTCCGGGAACCCCTTCCTAAACAAGAAACAAGGTGTGAGCCTCTACACATGTCCAAGAGAAGGGGGAGGAGTATTATTATATGTATTATATTTATGTCCGCCATGTGTTTTTAATCTAAATTATGTTAACATATGTCATAGGGAATGTGTTGTTATGTTTCCTAGTTTATTACATTACTATTGCGTTATCATAGGTACTTAGACGGAAAATCGCATTTCGACGCATCGTAGGAATAGAACTCTGTCGTAAGTCGAGGATCCCATGTATATTATATAAAAATCGTTAATTGTATTGCAAAAAACGCGACACAAACTTGTAAAAAAAAACCTCAATTTCGAATTCCTCGAGATGAGAATATAAAGCGCTTAAGAATATCTCAAAATTCCGTGGCGTAATGATAAACGAGCGAGTCTGTGTGATCATTGCTACTGCGTTGTGAGTTCGATCTTCACCGATTGCAACATACTTTTGACTTTGGTCTAAACTAATTTGAGTAAATGTTGAAGAAGAAATTTTGTTCGGAAAAATCTGTTGAAGATGGTAAATTTATTTGTTGAAGCAGAACAAGAGGTAATAGGCTTGGAAAGAAATCATTGTGGCCTTGTCGTCTTGATCTCTTAAAAGAAAAACGAGAAAGATACGTGGATGATAAATAATGAAAGGTGCGAAAAAGAAGGACTTTCTGATTGGCTGGAAAATATTTAGCCAAGTGTAAAGGCGATAGATAGAGAGGAACAGAGAGGAACAGAGTGCGATACATTGAAATGGAGTAAAGGCGATAGATAGATAAATAGGAACAGAGTGAAAGAGAGAGAGGACCAGAGTGAGATAGATAGGAACAGAGTGAGATAGAGAGGAAGAGAGTGAGATAGAGTAAAGGCGTTAGATAGATAGATAGATAGATAGGAACAGAGTGAGATAGATAGAAACAGATAGAGATAGAGAGGGACAGATTGAGATAAAAAGAAACAGAGGGAGATAGAAAGGAACAGAGTGAGATAGAGTAAAGGTGATAGATAGATAGATAGGAACAGATTGATATAGAGAGGAACATAGTGAGAGAGAGTAAAGGTGATAGATAGAGAAGAACAGAGTGAGATAGATAGGAACAGAATGAGATAGAGTAAAGGCGATAGATAGATAGATAGATAGATAGATAGGAACAAAGTGGTATAGAGAGGAACATAATGAGAGAGAGGGAGTAAAGGCGATAAATAGAGAAGAAGAGTGAGATAGAGTAAAGGCAATAGATAGATGGATAGATATGGACAAAGTGGTATAGAGAGGAACATAGTAAAGGCGATAGATAGATAGAACAGTGATAGAGAGTCACTTCTATAAAAGATTGATAGATTGGAGTTACCGTTTAGAACAGATGTGAAAAGATAAAAGAAATATGTAACACTACGAACATATCTTCTGCCAGACATATTGCCAGAATACTGGATACCGTAGTTGGCACAAGAAAAGGGAAAAGAACGTAAGAACTCGAATAAGGAATCAAAATGCGAATAAAAATCATCATCATCATCGTCATCCTCATCATTAATAGCTTGATCAGGTGTGGTCGTAGGGTTACTGCAAAACGGAACACCTGAACAGTTTCCACCACCTTCCTGGAAAGATATTCATTCATGCGTAGTGTGACTTGTGCATGTAGACTTGGCGGAGTCCTATCCCTCCAGGTCAAACCACAGCTGATATCCTCAAACTTGAAGGCTCGTCTTGGTCCCGAACTCGGGAACCCACCGCCCGGGTCGTTCACTTCAGTTTAGGAAGCCCTTCACCCAGCGATATCGTATCATAATAGTACAGGCTCTATACATAGCTACGGAGCTCAATCTGCCCCATTGTGCTAGGTGACCACTGACCCTACAAGAAGAGCCACCCAAACCTTGTTTTTAATCCTGATGAAGGACTAGTTACCATTCTCACCAGAAAAGGCCTGTTGGAGAACTGATTTAGTCGCCGATAAACCGACCACGTGACAGGTAGTACTTGTTCACATGGCACAAATAGTAGTCGTATATAGAATAAAAACAAACAAACATAAGAATAAAAAGAAGATGAAGGAATAAAGATATAAGAAAAGGCGCCAATTTTCCCGCCTAAAGCAAACTTACAAAAACCGTGTATTTAAATTGTGGTAAAAGTAGTCAAATAATGTTATTTAGAGATAAATAGTAGGCAACCCGAGCATATGATACATCGTATCTTTGAGTTATTTCCTGCTTGCTGCTGAGGAATTAATTGTTCGTGATGACGTGTCAAGATACGAGTTACAAGTAATTTGAACTCTCTCTTGCTCTTTTGCACATGGCGGCAGGTTATATAAAATCCAGCCGAAGGAAATGGTAAATTCAGATTTAGCATACTGCAGATTATCACAGTTTTATAAAAAAGTCCACTGACTCTTACACAATATATATATATATATATATATATATATATATATATATATATATATATATATATATAAGCAAATATATGGATATAGATCCGACAGTATGAAGAAAAATATGGAAAAAAACAAACAAAATCCTAATATGCAATTATGCTGTTTTTAATAAATATAATGTCAACGTCGGACGTTTCGGTCTATATGTCCTGAAGATGGTCTATTAGACCGAAACGTCCGACGTTGACATTATATTAACATTAAAACAGCATAAATGCATATTAGGATTTTTGTTTGTTTTTTTCCGTATATTTTTCTTCATATATATATATATGTAAACTTTAAAAATTAGGAGTTCAGATAGAATAGGCGACCTTGGTTTCAGCCTTACGGTATCATCAGGCTTATTCTATAAACTGACCGTCCAACGCTTTATTTTTTATTTAATAAAGGTCATATATATATATATATATATATATATATATATATATATATATATATATATATATATTCCAAGCAATATATAGCGTTAATTACATTGTAAGAACTATATGAGAACTATAAGATCAGTGGAGCTAGTTTCGAAATACAGACATGAAAAATAAATTCTTACTTCATTACCTATAATATAATCACAACTCAAAATGATAAAACAATTAATAACTAATAAACTTTATTTACTAAACATCAGAACTGAACAAAGACAATTTGACCTACCACATCATATCGCATCGCATTTAGTTTTGAAATTTAATCTTCTTGACGTCAGCAAATCGATTAGGACCGAACCAGTGCGTAATGAAACGAGGCAAATTTTGGAAAACCTAACTTAAAAATGTAACGTAGTTTCGTGTACCATTTTTGCTACACAACTCAGAAAGGAAACAATTTTTTAAATCATTTCACCCCAAGCAAGGTAATAAAGTCACTAAGATGCAGGTGGTTACTGAGTGCGAAATAATATGGAAAAAAGAAAAACATTATTACAGAGCGAGAATTACAAATAAACAAGAACTAAGAAAACAGAAGATAACGATTGACATTGCATTTAAATTTCTGGAGGTCAAAGTTGACTGGCAAAGAAGAAACCAGAAGAGAGTTCCACAAATAAGAAGTGCAATAGAAGAAACTGTCAGCATAGAACTTACGGTTACATCTAGCCATTTCAACTGTAAAATGATGAGACCTTACCGCCAATCTAGTACTACACTTAAATTCATAAAGTCTAGGTACCAAAGAGGAAAGTTCATCAGAACAACTACCGTGAAAATGTTTATAGGCAGAGGGAAGCTACATTATGGCAGTGGGAAAGTGATTGAAACCGGGTTGCCAGCTCAGACCAATGACATTGTAGATTCTTCTTGGATTTTATCGAGGATCTCTAAATATATGGCATGAGCACTAGACCATATGTGGCAGCTATATTCAAAGCATGGACGAATGGTAGACTTATTAATATGTAAGACAAATTGTGGCGAGAAAAATTCTCTAGCATGACACTGTGAAGCAACTTTCCGAGCAGCAGACCTAGCAAATAATTCAATAAATTCTTTCCACTTCATGTCAGCGGAAAACGTTAGACTGAGAAGGCGTAATGAGTCACTCTCAAAGGTGGTTAGCATCAGCCATATTTCGCTTTGGAGGTGTTAAAATTAACACGTCATTCTTTGACCCAGTTAATAATAGAATATAGGTCATTTTTGAGATCAACTGCCAATGTGAATTTCTCGAATTGATCCTTACAGGAACTGCAGAAGGTAATAATGGAGGCGAGAAAACGACCTAAACATTAATTGTAAGAAGACAAAATATATGGTTGTCAGCAGAAGAAACAGTCTAAGACACGAACAAAGAATGGGGGATACCAAAATCCAGATGGGAAATGCGTCCCGAAAATGCGATGGCTCATTGGAAGAGTGAAGCTGCTTGAGTGAAACTTATATCTCACCAGGGGAACATGAAAGGAATGAGTGGTTCGTTACAATGTGCGTGGCATAGCGGCTCTTAGACGCGAAGGTTAAGACTGGTGGAACTGGAGAGTGTAGTTGATCTGAACATTCTCCCTGGAAATAGCAATAGAGCAAGCGACAAGCTTGCGATGTCTCGTCTTTGAGAGAAGGGCCGCAGAATAGAAAATAATTCGTTGCGGAGAGGCTTTTCAACTCTATCGGGAATCATTAAAATGTTATCAGAATTTGGCTGCTACTGTCTGGACAGGTGAAGTAGTTATGGGAGAGGGGTTTGCCTACGTACCCTCTCTCATATGCACACACTTCTCCATTCTCCTTCAATCATCATGTCATGTTAAGATACCCATTACGGTAAAGCGTCTAATATAGTACATTCATGCCTTTTATGAAAGGCTTTAGTACAAAGTGAATGTAAACTGCGTCAACTGAAATTCGAACTCTGCTCACCGATTCCGTTTTATATGCTGGTAGCCGTTACACGACCTGGCATCCCATCTCCTGTGTATGCATGTACGGACGTATGTCGAGGGTACGTTCTTTTTTACATTCTTACAAGAATCATGGCGGATGAGTGTCTGTTCCCAAAGTGACTCACTTTCGAGCCATGCAAAGTACTTTCAACACGTTAATAAATTAGATTGTTACGAGAAAGCAACAGGAAAAGAAATAGAGGCAACAAAATCGACAAAGACAAGATAATGGAAAATATAATTAAGCAGACAATCTCAAACCGAAGGTGAACTCGCCATCTTTTCCGTTTGCCCCCTTTTCATCAATTTCCGGCCCATGTCACATTGAGGCTGTCATTAGGTTTGTTTGTTTTTGTTAGTGCAAGATGTGGGCAGAAATCCGACAATTCTTTATTTCTTTCCTTCTGCCTTTTTTTTTCTCAGTTTTTTCTTTCTTTTATTTTTTTTATTTTTCTTTCTTTCTTTCTTTCTTTCTTTCTTTCTTTCTTTCTTTCTTTCTTTCTTTCTTTCAGTATTCATTTTCTTTCTTTTTGTATCCATTTTACTTCCTTCAAATGTTTCTTTCCTTCCTTCTTTTTGTATCAATTTTTCTTTCTTTCTTTTATTCTTCAAATTCTTTTCTTTCGTTTTGTATTCATTTTTCTTTCTTTCTTTCTTCAAATGATTCTTTCTTTTTGTAATCATTTTTATTTCTTATTTTTTTTATTAATTTTTGTTTCTTTCTTTCTTGCTTCAATTTTTTCTTTCTTTCGTTTTGTATTCATTTTTCTTTCTTCAAATGTTTCTTTTTTCTTTTTGTAAGAATTTTTCTTTCCTTCTTTATTCAATTATGTTTGTTTGTTTCCTTCTTCAAATTTTGCTTTCTTTCGTTTTGTATTCATTTTTTTTTCTTTCTTCAGTTTTTCTTTTATTATTGTATCTTTTCTAGTTTTGCTTTCTCCCTTCTAACTTTTTTTTTTACTTCACTTATCTCGGTTAAAAGTAAAATTGCCAACTGCGTAGTTGTCCTTTAAAAAAAAGAATACAAATGAAAATAACTACTTACTTACCTAATTACATACATTGCAATTTACTTATTTTCTCCCCTCACCCCGTAATCCATGAAAGCCTTCCAAAGAGCCAATTAATTTACTCCCGTCACTTCTTCACATTTATGACATGTCAATGTGTACAAAATAGTACTTTTACCATCACCATCATTCTGCCTCTTACCCTCCTTTCCCGACTAATTATCTTCAGCGTCTTTCGTTTCTTTCCATTTCAAAATGGCGACCACGATTATCCGAGCTATTTTTATTTCCTTTCTCGTATTTATCATTATCATCATCATTCGTCATTTTTCTCTCCGGATTTTAATCAGCCATGTAGACGATCCGCTACTTGTTCAAAAAATATTTTTTATTTTTTATCATTTCACAACAAGCAAGGCGATGAACCCCCTAAGACCTAAAGGGGTTACTGATACAGACAATAGAGGGAAGGAAACTGAGAAAACGTTACCGAGAGGAAAGGACAATAAAAAGAACAGGATTCAAGGAGGTAGAAGATGACGATTGATGTTGCATTTAAAATTTTGTAGATTATAGTTGACAGGAATGAAAAAAAAAAGCTGGAAAAGAGTTCCACAGGCGAGAAGTGTGAAACTGACACTGTGTTGCCAGGATAAATCAATCGCGTTTTCAGCTCTCACGGGCGGACAATCAAGTTCCCATAGAGAAGGAACCGTAAGAAACTATGGCCCCTGCTTATCAGTAGCTTTTTGTAAATATCTGGGAAGCGTTTTAACTGAACACGTATTGGAAAAACGAAAGAAGCATTCCAAAAGCTAAGCAAGGTAATGAGAGAACAGAAAAGTTTCTTTAGAAACAAAGAAAAGCGTGATAGATTGTTACGTGGTCTCCATCGTTTTATAGAGCAGTGAATGTTGGGCAATCTCCCCAGGGATGTAGAAAAAATAAAGGAAGCAGAAATGTGGTTCTACAGAAGGATATTGAGAATCCCATAAGTCTTAAAGAAAATAGAAAAAAAAAAACACTTGTACTCAGAATCGGGAAAAGACAGTTGAAATTCCCTGGGCGCATGATGAGGAAAGAGGGCTTCGAAAACTTAACGCTCACGGGACAGAAAGATAGGGGAAAGCAACAAACCACTCAGCTGACAAGCTTGTGTCAATAGATGGCGAAATGAGGCCCTCAACAAAAGGAGAAAAAGAAAAAAAGATAATAACTCTCTAATGGAACTCGGGTCGCTAATAAAACTGGATTCTCTCTTAACTTGTATGATATATATATATATATATATATATATATATATATATATATGTGTGTGTGTTTGTGTGTGTGTGTGTGTATGTATGTTTCCTTACAAACGACAGAAAAGCTACTACGGTTAAGCTTTTTATTTAATTTCGAACAAGAGCTTTCCAAAGAACTGTCCAAATGTTTTATATTTCCGAGCCATTTTTAAGGATGATATATTTATGTTTTCTACTAGTATGTTTCTAATGGAGTCGGGTAAGTTAGTGTGTGTGCTTAAATGGGTTCTAATGGAACTGTGATCAGATATGTGTAACGTGAGGCGTCTGGATAAGTATGTAGTTGTGTAACCGATGTAATTATTTATGAGCCCGGTTTGATCAGGAACACAGTTCCTTATGGGGCATTTGAACTCATAATGTTCGTTCTTTGTAATTTTGACTTAGCTGATAATGGCTAAAGGTATAGCCGAAAGCGCTCGGAACTATATAAACATTTGGACAGTTTTTACACACTCTTTGTCCAGAAAAGAAAGCTCTTGTTCGAACACAAGAAAAATTAAATAAAAAGCTTAACCGTACTACCTTGTCTGTCATTTTTAATGAAACATGCATAAACGAAGGATTGCTGCCTAAATATACAACTATATATATATATATATATATATATATAGAGAGAGAGAGAGAGAGAGAGAGAGAGAAATTTTCTTACACACAATTTGTACCCCTTTATGCTTACCATTTTTTCCCGGATTGGTTTCTTCTTCTAGTAAGAAAATGCAATTCTCTCTTGGGCGCATCCGACATAAAACTGGTTTCAGGAATCCTCAGCTAACTTTCAGTTATTCAAGTGGTCCTCTGCCCCACGCCTGGTTTAAACCCCGCTGAGCATGTACGGGGTATATTGCTGAACTCAGTTAATTCTCTGCAGCCACACCCAATAAACACAAATAACTTACGGACAACCGAGGAATGTGTCTGGATCAGAAGACCCATGCAACGTTTCTTGCATCTTCTTAACTCTATGTCACGTTGAGTAACAGCCATTATTTAGACGAATGGAGGGGATACAAGTTATAAGAACCTAACATAAACATTGTTATACAATCACCCTGTTATACGCACTCCATGCGCCACAAAATAATTGGCAACTGGCATTACAACATGTTAAAACTACATTTATTTATGTTAATATATATATATATATATATATATATATATATATATATATATATATATATATATATATATATATATTAGTTTTAGTTGTTTTCCTTTTACCAATATTTCTTGTAGTTTGTCCATAAGAACCCTGAGTGAGTGTCAATACGCGCCATACGCCCAAGCGAACTAATAAATCGTTAAATGAACAAAACAAACGACTGGATGCCACCTGTTGGGAATGAGGTGAAACAGTCAGACGTGGAAGCTGTTATTGTAAAGGGAGGTAATCAGGTAATCATTGTGCTTGACATCGACTCAATGAATAAATGCGTTTTCTTTGCTCGGTGTCCACAGACATTAAAGAACAAAGATTTGACCAACATTTTGCGTGGTAAAAAAAAAAAAGCAAATGAAAAAGTTCTATATGCCATTTCCGAAATAAACTTAAGCCTGTTCAAGTAGAAAGTCATTTAATGATGTACAGAAGACAGAGAGATAAAGAGAGAGCGAGAGAAGAAGAGAGAGAAAGAGAGGGAGAGAGAGAGAAAGAGAGAGATGAAGAAAGAGGAGAGAGAGAGAAAGAGTGAGTGAGTGAGTGAGTGAGATAGGGAGAGGGAAAGAGCGAGAGAAGGAGAGAGGGAGCTTATCCAGTAAAGAGCTTGATTTTTCTCAAACAAGTTTTATCGGCGTAAAAATAACTGCCTTTAGTTGAGACCCATAAGCAAACATTTGCCAATGCTATAACTTTAATTATGATTGCTTGTTTTACTTACTTAATATGTACTTGTTGGCAAAATGGTGGTCGATTTGAGGTATTAATACAAAGGGTCAACGAATTTATTAACAAGTCACATTTACAATGAAAGTAATAACCATTTGCGTCTATAGACTGATGGAGATCAACACACTACGCCTTCTTGGCCTCATGTCTTCATCTGACTTGACGACTACATTGAATCAATAGCTGCATCGACTGCAAGGAAAGTTGAGTCCCTGTGTCGTGTCAGAAGGTTTTTCGTGTCATTTACAAATCTTCGTCCGTGAATTGAATACTGTTGCCATATCTAGTCAGGTACTCCTGCTACTCATCTCGAGATTCTTTCTTCCCTGATAACTACAATCTTCAAAAATTTAAATGCAACGTCAATCGTCATCTTCTATCTTCTTGAACCCTGTTCAGCTTTTATCCTTTCTATACGCAGTCTTTTCTCTCAGCTTCACTCTCTATAACCCCCTTGCGTATTAGTGGCATTCCCGCCTTGATTGGGATGAAATGATTAAAAAAAAGATAATATTGTTTATTAAGAAATGGACAAAGTCCGACAATTGATTTATTAAAGACATTTTTATGTGTAACATTCTTTTTATAGATACAAGTATTTAAGTAAACGCTCTGTTCATAATAAACAGTATTAAATAACATTAACCGGCCTGAATGTCCGAGAAATTTTCATAGAAAATTTTCGTCCTTTGACAGGATTCGAACCTGCATCCTATACGGAACCGTCATTTACGCTGACGTGCCTTGACCGCTCGGCCACAAAGGATCAACCTTGCCAACCGAGCGATCCTTTGCAGTATTATTTGTGTAAATTGTAATCGCACACGGTGTAATAAAATTGAACATTTGCTTTAGTTAGGTCCTGATACAAAATCATCAATTATCAGGGACTGGATATAGATACGTCCCACACTTAGTCTCTTTTAATACCATTTTCTTTTACACTGTAGTCAATCATGACTCTCCACAACTTCCTTTGTTATGTTCTGTGAATTTCCATAACTTCTTAAGAAAGAGTAATTTCCCGATGTCTTTGACACGGTTCTTACTTTTTTAATATCATGTGAACATGTCCCGCCACAGCTTCCTTTTCTCTGTTATTTTTTTAAATTATATTGGCTGTGTAAATGCAATGTTACTATGACTTCTTGATAAAGTTTGTAGAGTGGCTTTCCTTTGACTTCGCCATGATTTTGAATTTATAGTAGTTTTCTGTCCCTCTAATTTGTTCAATGCCATTTATTTAATAGTGTTAACGATTATATCTCTCCACAACTTCCTTTTCTTTATTATCTAGGAATTGTCATGACTTCTTGAGATAGTGGAATGATTTCTCGCTGCATTCGTCACGGTTCTGAATTCAAAATATTCTTTCTCTTAGACTGTCTAGCACTCAAGTCTAGAGAGCACTGTTATTTAACCCATAGCTGGAGCGGGGTGAAGAGACGAATTTATATCTTTCCCAAATGTATTAGCAAGAAAGTGAACGCAACAAACCAGACCTGTATTCGAACGATTCCATTTTCGTGTTGATAATTATTACGCTATGCTCGAATCCCTTTAACCATTAGCAATTGAATTTAGACATGTCCCGCCCTTGACATTACCCATTGGGCTTAAATATGTCTCCTATTTCACAGATGAAAAGTGACTTATTACAAGTCGAACCAATTGTATTGTCTCTAGACACAATCACTGAGGAGTAACTTTCTACTATTTGCACCTTGTAATCATGCCAAATTTCCCGTCTCATGTACCATATTTTACATGTGTTTTTCTTTTGTTTAAAAAAAAATGCGGCGATTTTACAAGTCTAAAAATCCCGGAAGATAGCAAAGTGATATTGTTCATCTTCGAAACCGCAAACCGAAGACAAATCTCAAGTGGTTTTCGTTTAAACCAGTGTTATGAAATGTTAAGTGGTATTCTGCTGCAGTCAAATTGTTCTTTGGCGAATTCCTCCCTCCCGTTACCAAGGCAGAAGAATCGGTGAGGTAGCAAGTGGCACTACCAACAGCTAATATTTTTATAGGTATACCCCAGTGTGTTTACGATTCTCTCGTGCACTTCAGCACGACCACAGATATTAAATAAATGCGTATATCTTAAGAGGGATTGATGAAAAGTTCTAGAATCGACCACGAAGCCTTCAAAATATGTTTCTGATAATTGGTCATTTTGTCAGGTTCTGGGAAGTGACCCAGGATGATAATTTATCATCACCCCTCGTAAGAAAGACACTATTTTACCCAAATATTGGCTGTGTTACTATGACTTCTTGATAAAGTTTGCAGAGTGACTTTCTTTTGATTTCGCCATGATTTTGAATTTATAGTAGTTTTCTGTCTCTCTAATTTGTTCAATGCCATTTATTTGATAGTGTTAACGGTTATATCTCTCCACAACTTCCTTTTCTTTATTATTTAGGAATTGTCATGACTTCTTGAGATGGAATGATTTCTCGTTGCATTCGTCACGGTTCTGAATTCAAAATATTCTTTCTATTAGACTGTCTACTACTCAAGTCTAGATGATCCTGTTATTTAACCCATAGCTGGAGCAGGGAGAAGGGACGAATTTATATATTTCCTAAATGTATTAGAAAGAAAGTGAAGTAATCTTAATGAGAAAGGAAACTCCGTGGAGTGAGGAAATTGAGTGTTGAAGTACCGACGTCTCTTTAAGCTACGATACTACAAATCGCCATTTGAGTCAGAAAACCTTGAAAGTGGGCTAGGGAAGAAATTCTGGTAAAGAGTACATGGGTGGGAAATTATTGAAAACCAAAGAATTATCTACAATGAGTCGACACTGTCAAGGTTGAAAATGGTGGTAACGGTTTTTTATTTTTTCGTGAATACCTTGGTTAAACAAGTTACGAGAGGCTGTTTTTCTCAAGTTTGCATTTAAATACTGTTTTCTATGCTAGCAATGGTGACAAGCCAGTGGCGAGAAATGTTGTTTGTCAAGACATCCAGTGATAAAACAAATCTACACATTTTTCAAGGACAGATGTACGCGCTGAATATTATTATTATTATTATTTACATTTGATTCACCGATGGCGTCACGTGACGGCACCTCTTCTAGTCTTATCTACAAACATGATTATTATCTGTTGTTTAAATCTCTCTGTTTATTTTCTATCTATCTATATATCTCAGTTTGTTCATATCTATCTATCTATCTATCTATCTTTTTTTCATAGTCTGCTCATATCTATCTTTTTTTCATAGTCTGCTCATATCTATCTATCTATCTATCTATCTATCTATCTATCTATCTATCTATCTATCTATCTTTTATTCAGTCTGCTCATATCTATCTATCTTTTTTTCATAGTCTGCTCATATCTATCTATCTATCTATCTATCTATCTATCTATCTATCTATCTATCTATCTATCTATCTTTTTTTATAGTCTGCTCATATCTATCTATCTATCTATCTTTTTTTCATAGTCTGCTCATATATATATATCATAGTCTGCTCATATCTATGTTTTTTCTCTCTTCTCTCCTCCCTCACTCTTTTATATATATATATATATATATATATATATATATATATATATATATATATATATATATATATATGTTCTAATTACTATACGAATAACTTATATCACCGAGCAGATTCACTGCCAGATGCTATGGTCACGATGTTTACGATGGATAACACCGGTAACGCTCCCATTGCAGCTACTCCCGACACCTAACTGGCATGAAGGTGTGAAGTGCCCAGAGAGATGAAGAGAAATGATCTGTGATAAGCACGAAAAACTACGATTACATTTTATTATGATTGTACTTGGCAGAAAAGGACAATCATAATAAAATAGAAGAAAAACTAAACTATTTATATATAATGTAATATAATATGAAAACGATGGCCAGTTATAAAAACGGTAATGAATCTTGTCTCTTCTACTTGGAAGAGATGGTGGCAATTTGGCGATGGCAACGTATTCAGAGCCGAATAAATTGTTAAATGCCAGGTTGGATATGAAAAATAGTATTTGCTAGGTAGCTTGGTTCCAGAATGGCGAAAAATATATAGTTATTGAGCGCCCCAGATCCTGTTCCAGTATTTGCATTAATAATTTTTTTTGGCTTTTCACCCTGAGTGGACAGTGGTCAAATGACTAAACTGCTATATATTGAAAGTGTCATGGGCACCAGCTCGTCAGGCCATGAGTGGCATGACCTGACGAGCAGGAAATCGAAAGTCGATAAGTTAATGAGTTTTTTTTTTTTTTATTTTAACTCGATGTCAGGAGTAGTGTATGTCGGCTCGGATCGAGGAATCGAAGATTCGAGGTCGAATTCCGGTCGAATCCATTATATTCACTTACGTGCTAATACCCTTGGGATAAGGTATGAATCCTCTTCTTCTCCCTCCAGTTATGAGTAAATAGCAGGACAGACCAGGTTCTATAGCCTTGGATGGCAACTGGTCTAGGAGAAGGACAACTCTGAATTCAAAACCTGCAGAGCGTCGTTTGGGGACCTTGTGGCACGTTGTGCACCATGTCTCTGTATTCGACCCTTCAAAAAAGTGTAGTTGGTTATGCACAAAGCCTTCACCACTAGAATCAAATCAAATCATATGTGTCGGTTCTTAGGAACTGAGTTGCTTGACCTTCATACGTCGAATACGACGGGAGAATCCACCACACACACACACATATATATTATATATGCAAACATATTGATAAAATAGGAAATAATTATTTAGATTGATGATCCGAAGTTCTTTAATATTTTTGTTTTTATTTTTAAAAAACAGTTCTCGATACACAAGTAGAGCCTAGATGTCTATCTATAAAAGGCAGGATGTGTGTATGTGTGTGTGTGTGAGTGGGTGTGGGTGTGTGTGTAACGAATGCACGGCTGCAATTTTCGACGTATTTGCACCAAAATTTACATGCACATGCTCCAAGTTAGCGGGAAGGCCAAGACCGACTTTGCATTTCCCAACTTCCATCGATAGTGGAAATAATCGATTTTTTCATGCTTCTACGGCAGCTTTCATGTAGTTTGCGACCATTTTCTAATGGCCAGAGTGAGAGCCTATAGCTTCGGTTTTTGAAACATGGTTATTACTGAAACCATATTTTAAATCACTTAATTTAATATATATATATATATATATATATATATATATATATATGTACTTATTGGAAAATGCTCGATATCAGTGATAGATCTAACATATTCAATTGTATGGATATGAGTTTGTGACACTGTGTTTCACGCTTTTGCGATTATCAGACAAATCGGTTTACTTTTTAAAAATTCAATTTATACTTGTTTGTGTTTGATTATGTTTGGTGGTGGGAGGGGGAAATACTTCTTTCTGTCCGTTTGGGGTGACACTCTCGCACACACAGACATACATACATTCAGGTATACGCATTTTAGTTCACACAAACATAGTCATATAAACAATCTGCCATTAATCGAAAATACAAACCCATGCGTTCAAGCATACATACAAATGCAATTATAATTCTATTTCGGTTTTGAGACTGTATGTAGCGATGTTCTCTCAACAAGGGACCGGTTGGAGTATACATACTCATCTAGCATTATGGTCCAAATGGTTGAAATATGCAGCTACAGTAACATTGTTGTTGTCTTTGGTAGTTTTCTTATGGTTATTAAACCGTAAACGAAATTCCATGCATTTTTCACCAATGTAATTTGCTATGTTGTATTTATTGCAACAAATAAAATATATAACATTTGAACTGTCGCAAGTTAAGAAAGGAGTTCGGATTACTGCGTGTTTCCAGATGGCGTAAAAATACTATTGGTGATATGTCATAAACTTAGCATTCTCTGTTTATATATATATATATATATATATATATATATATATATATATATATATATATATATTATATATTAAAAAACACATAACGAATGTCTATTATGTTTTTGATCATGAGCCGTTTTAAGCTTGGTATTGTGTCTTTAATATCGGGAGAAAATAAAGACAAAAATTGTCCAACATTTGCATATTTTTTTATTAAGCTGTTCCTCGTTTTAAGCTTTCGGCTCACATGAGCCATCTTCAGAGTGGTTATACGGACATTTCAACAAAGATATTTAATATCAAAGATGATATTCTGTTATGTTTACATAGATTGGTATATGACGATAACGGTCGCAGAATAGCAGACGCAGGTCTTAAATGCATGACGCGGTACTATGACGTCGTACCACGTGAGAGAACGAAATATTAACAACAGAACCAGATGTCTAAATGCAATGTAATGTGTTGTGACTAGTTTGAAATGTAATATGTGTGTGTGAGCGTGCGTAAAGATTATCTGTATCCATCAATCATTTGATATTATTAAGTTTATATTTTTTCTTTTAATTTTAGGAAGAATGTTCATTAAAATTGTAATACTGAAAAATTTGGTCTAAGGAATTTCATACATATGTTTAAAAATGGTAACGGATTTAGATATTTTTGGCAAAAATATCGGTGTTTTTTTTTTTTCTCTCTCACCCAAACACGGGCAAAAGTGTTTTATGATAAAAGAATTCGTCTGTAAATGATCCGCTACTGCAAGATGGCCGCTTTTACGATCGTCTGCATTCGTTAGGTATTTCCTTTTGCACAAATACTGAAAAGAGTATTAGCAGTGAACCAATTTGGCAGTGAATTAAAGAATTTCATTCCAGCCTTAAAACATCCGTTCTAGCGATTATACACACACGCATATATATAATAATAATGGCACAATATTCTTAAAGGTGTATAGAATTCGAAGATCAAAAGCAAACAAAAAAGCCAGGGAGTGAGGTAAGTAAAAAGAATATATAAATATGCACACATGAAGTGGGAGTATGAGAAAACGATGTAACATGTGTATTTGTGCATGTACATGTTTCTATATTAATAGTCCAGTTGCATATTCTTTGGTCCGATTTTACTTTCATCTATCAACATTTGTGTGGTGAAGTGTTACTGACTCACGGGAAGTAGTATGCACTCAACTGCCTCATGCGTAATAGCCGTAGCGATTTATAGTCTTTGTGGTTTCATATGTAAATGAGTCGTCTCATCTCCCTGTGCCTTATTTACCCTGGTACTTCCTCTGGAAGCTTTTGTCTCCTCACTATTTCCCTCCCCTCCCCAAGAAATAGTCTAGATATGGGAGATCGTTTCGTATCCTCAGCTAATTTATCTATTGCCAAAATATCAGTTTCGACCCAGTTCCAGTATGTTCGAAGTTTTCCTTCTCTTTTTCCCTTTCAGAAGTAATGAATGTCAATCTCAACAAAGCGTCTACATGCAGAATGGTATTGCCTTTCACGTACTCAATATCAAAGTCAAACACCATTAACATTAAGGCTCATCTTAGAATTCTTGAAGACATTACCTTAGGAATTTCCTTCCTAGGATTAAATATGAATTCTAAAGGTCTATGGTCGGACCTTAGGAGGAATTTCTTTCCAATCAGAAACTGACAAGCTCTATTTGTCATCCATGTCATGGCCAATGTTTTTTCTCAATATTTGAGAAGTTCAATTCTGCCTTTGACAATTTTCTCAAAAGATACATAATAGGATGACAATCGTGAGCAAATATTCCTGAAATTGAGAGTTCACTTGCATCAGTTGTTACTTCTATTTCCTTTCTAAGGTCAAATAGTTTTTACTACTCGCTTCTTTGCCAGAAGAGCTTTTAAATTTTCAAATGCCACTTATTGTTCTTTTGTCCAAATAAATTTCACATTCTATTTTCTTAAAGCAGTAAAAGGTTTTGTCAATTCGGACTATCACTTTACATATTGTCTGTAGAAATTTACAAGTCCGTAGAAAGAATCCAATTCTTTTTTGTTCTTAGGTACTTCAACTTTTAATATTTTATTAATTAACAATTGATCTGGTGATATGCCTTCGTTAGATATGGAATATCCTAAAAATGATATTTTTTTTAGAGTTGTTCACACATTTTTTTCATATGCTAGAAAGTTTTGTTTTTCTCTTTGATATTTATATCCGCAAAAACTACAGCGTATTCTATATTTTTTCTTTATCATGTATGTGTCCATTTCATTTTCCAATTAATCCTTGTTGCTAAACAAATTCCCCACACTGTTCTAGTGACAACTTTCCCAGTTGTAAATTCATTAGAATCATTTGCCGATATTCCTCATTTTGCAGACTTTTTACCGATTTCATTTGGATCAAATCCTCTTCGATTGACTGGTTTTCTGATCCCAGATTCTCAAATTCCCAATATTTACCGATTTATTTTAAACGAAGAACATATTCAATAAATGGTTCATTCATTTTTTGAGAAATATTCATAAACTTAACTCTCTCCCACATTCACTATATTTTTCTTGGCTGTTATGTTTTTCACTATTAGTTAATTTCTATCATCAAACATCCTTTCCTCCAGCTGTCTTTGGTGTACAATTGCGGATACTTTTAT